AAAACCATCGCGCTGCCACCGATCGGGCGACGCCGCGAGAGCTTCCCCTTTGTTCGCGTTCCGTGTCTCGGCAGATTTTAGGTACGTCTTAAAGTTTCGCCGAGTACTCCTTGGAGCGGAATCGACAGTCGGCGCTTAACTCAGTTTAATAGTCGATCGATGAGTAAATTGGGTTAGGGGTTTCCTGAAAGGACTTTGGGCTTCTGCCCGGTTTCGAGGTACGGAGCGTGGTTCTCCTTAAACAGAGACCACGATACCGGTTCGATTCTATTAGAAGACAAGAGAGCAACGTCCTCTGGGCCCGTCTTAGACTTTCGACAAAGTATCGGGAGAAGCCAGCCAGCAGTTTCGGTCCTGGGCTGATACGCGAAACCTGATACGCCTGTTCTCTGCGAGTTACGCCACGACAGCTGCCCACGCCGCTCCGTTCCCCGAGTAATCGGTCAATTATTCCGCCGGAGGTTCGCAGCTTTCCTCGAAAACTGAACCGTCGCCCGGGCAAAAACCCCTTTTGAAATCGTAGACTGCACGCTGCGCGAAGCGCCGCCGCTCGTAGGGGGGAAAAAATAGAACAGAAACAAAAACGAGGCACCCGTTTCTGTGCACGATTCGATTTTTCCCCTGGCGGACCGTACGTTCTCCGGTATCGCTGTTGTCGGTCTTTGATGTCCGGGGATCGAGGTCGAATCGGGCCGCGTCGAAGTTGCTCGTCCGAACTTGATGAATCCCGGCCGCCGAATAAAGTTCCGCCGTAATTATCGGCGGGCCGTTCGAACAATCGATCGGATCGGTCCGTTGCGGAGGAAGAGGAGTTGTCGACGTTCAACAAACCGATCGACCGCGAAACGCGACGTTCCCGTCGCGCGGTCGCCCCCGAGTTCTAGCTTCCAATCAACGATCTCGCTTGAAATCGAGCATCGATAAGCCGCGCAGCGCGCGCGCCACGCCGCGACGATTCCTCCGCGGCCCCCCGATTTCCGGCGATCCATCCGGGCACCGCAACGTCCAGAAACTCCGATAAGTTTCCGGGTAGTTTCGCGCGAAACTGGCGAAGTTCGACGAGCAGGGGAAAATAGGCGGATCGTGTTTTTAAATTTCAATGGTTACGGGCCACGGTCTCCGAGCCACGGACCGCCTCCCCGTTTTGTCTCGGTTCTCGAGTAGCGACTCGATCGAACGGTCGTTCGATTCGATATCGGACGGCCGACTATTTGCCGGTGAAACGGCCGAACTTCTCGCTATTCCGCTGACGAGAACGGTCGCGGGATTGAAACGGATCGAGTCGGTCGCGAGGCGAGTTGCTCTCCACTTACCGATGACAGTGAAGTTGACCTTGAAATTTCTTGTCGGCGAGTTGCGAAAATCGACTCTACACCTGTATACTCCCTCGTCGGTCTGCCGTAGATCTCGGATCGTCAACTGGGCGGGCGGGCTCGCTCTGAACGACGCTCTGTCTCCCCAGAAATGGGGTGCGCTCCACAACTTCGCTTTCCCGAACTGCCGGTTTCTCGCGTCGTAGCTGGAACAAAACAACGTCAACGGATCGATCATTATAGTCGTTGCAAGCTCTCAGGAGTGAAGGTGCTTTTATGCTACCTAACGTTCCGCCATAGCTTCGCGTAATTAGCAACCGCGTCTTCCTATAATCTTTACTTCCCCGTGAACCAGGAATTGCATTAGCAATTCATTCGATTCGGAAATATTCCTCGTGGCTCGATCGCTAGTCACGGTAGCGAGAGGCTGGGGTAACTTTCTTATTGGACGCGGCTCGTTCCCGAAAGCCTCGAGCTTCTCAGCCGGTGAAAGCATTAAATTTACTGTTTGGATCGATCATCGTTTCCGGCTTGCATTCACCGGACAGAAATGAAAATTCAAAGCGAACGGACGACGACAGGATGATGCACCGTTCGAGCACGTGCGTAGGTGGCTGCGAGTCTGGTCTTACGTAACCTCGGCCCAATTTTTCACTCAACTTTCGCAATTCGTCATAGTCGGAGGGGTCGGTGCCGAGAGAAGTTTGCTCGACCCCCGAGTCCCGAGCTTCAAACCCAATACAGACCGAGGGAAGTGCACTCGACCGAGAGAGTCGGATAACCTTTTACCTTGGAGATCGAGCTCTCTCCGAGATGGCATTAGAAGATGTATCAGAGTCCAGTCTCGAATGCCCCGGAGCAAAGATTCGCCCTCGTCTTTCGGAGCCGGCGACACGAACAACTTCATAACTACCAAGTGAACCAACAAACATCATATGTATTTACTTGCGCGCTATACGTACGTGTGTACCGTCGGACCCCTATAACTCAAAAACCTCTTTAACTCGTAAACTTCCATCGTTCTCTTCCGCTTCGCTGTAAAAACCTTCGTGCCTCGAAATACGAAACTACGTTTGTCTCAATCACGCCGGAGAAGCTCTGTAACTCGAATTTTCGTTCGCCGAGTCTCTTTCGTTCCAATTCCGGATCGGAAGAAGCCTCTATACTTCGAACATCATCTGCTATACGTTGCGATTCGATTCATCGAGATTCTACCATGCATACGCGAACGTGTACGAACGCTCGAAGGATCTGTTCGATACATTCAATCTTTCCTCTAATTTTTCGTTTCGGGTATTAGCCGCACGGCACGTCCAAGTTTTCCGTGTCGGACGATCAATTATTCCGGAGGAACGGCGCGAGCGAACGTGAGTTCGGTGGGTCTAATCGAGCGACGAAGTTCAGCCGAGTTCCGACGATAAGACGTCGCACGGTCGATCAACGAAGTGTCCCGCCCAACGTTCGCCCGACGGACCAACTTTTCGACGGGCCGTGCAGTCTTATTCGGGTGCAGTTTGTCCGCGGTCGTAAGACAAATTGGATTGGTTTTTAACGAGCACGATGACTCGAGAGAGTTTCCCGAGAGGCACGAATCTGATCTCGACGGACTCGTCGAGTCGTCGTCCTCGTCGTCGTGCCGCCCTTCCGCCGTTCCGCCCCCGGCCGCCCCGTAGGACAGCGCCGCTCGTTTACTTTCCGCGCCGGCTGATTTACGAGAAACTAAAGAGGCATCGAGATCGCGCTACTGCCGCGGAAAAACTCTTAATTACCGTGCCGTTTTTCCTCGTGTACCCTCATCACCGGATAAAATCTGTACAAATGGTGCTCAACGGCAACGGAAAAACTAACGAGTCCCGTGTCCACGGTGAAACGACGGCAAACACCTCGTCGAAAATCGCGACGCGTCATCCCGTCCGCGCTCGATTCAATCTTCGCGGATCCCTCTAATGAAAAGCTCGGTCGGGCCATTCAAATAGAGAATCTCCCGGGAGAGAACCGCCGAATCGCTCGCGTAACGAGAACCGATGCGGCCACTAAGACACCGTGTAAAAATAGTCGCAAAAACATCGGAAGAGCGGTGCTCGAGCGTGTACACGAGGAGAAGCAAGCCGGATGATCGAGGTGCTGGCGCGAGGATGGACGATGGGACGCGATTAGGACGAGGCGACGAGTAATTGGTTTTGCACCGTCCTCCGTCGACGGTTTCCGATTGCGTCGCGCGTCCGAGCCGCGGGAAAGGTTACGTAACGTTCGGGATAAATACGATTTACGAGCCTCCGAGGGAGGAACGATGAGCGGTTCGATCGGTTCGGGGAACGGAGCTCGCCGCGGCGACTGGGAAACGAGCATCTAACGGCCGTGGAATAACTGCGGACAACCGGCGGAGGGAAGAAGGGGACAAACGACGCCGACAATGCCCGGAGAAAGAAAAGAAACGACGAAACGAGGAAACTAGGCTGAATGGATGGATGGTCGGGGATAAAATCGAGAGGAAGCGGTGCCGGAGGGCCAGGAGAAAGGCGAGGACGGGCAAGAATAGTCCCTAAACAAATTAAAATAATTGCCGCGACTCGTCGGAAGATCTCGCTGGTCGCGCGGGGTGAAAGAAGGTCGGCCATGAATACGCTAGTGTCGGTGAAACGAGTGTACCGCCGAGGAGGTTGGCGACCCGCCGCGCAGCGTCCCGGAGACAGGGCCACGAAGGGAACCGACCGCTCCCGGGACTCTTAAAAGGAGCTTAACTTCGCGCATAAAATTAAGGCATTGTAATTGCAGACGGCGTCGCCACTGCGGCAGCACATTTCTCTCTTTTCCCAGTGCCGTGGCCCGCCGTCACCGGTCGCCGGCCAGCCAGCCAGCCAGCCGGCTGGCTAACCAGACAGCTACCGTTCGCTTCCTTCTTTCCCGTCGTCCCGCTCGACCGGGAAATATAATTTGCGCGAGTTAACTTTCGTTCCCTGGGTACGCGACGGCTAAATGATTTTTAATCGGGATCAAGAGCCCGGCTCGCCCGGTTCAAACGCTAGCTCACGGAAGACGGTAAACATTCTCGAAGAATTCTTTCGGAAGTAACGAACAGCTAGGCGTGTCTCTCCTTTGCGCGAGTTTCAGTACGCTTACAGCGGCGCGATGGAAGCGGCGAGGAACCGTCCGTCGAAGGGAACGCCGGTAAAGTGTCCTCCCGTGACGCGTTTTTAATGGAATGGCTGACGCTGAAAGAGTCATCGTTATCTTTAAGCTGAAAGTGGTTCGTCGCGAGATACACTCGCCGGGAAGGCAAACGTTACGTATCGTATTCTTCGCGTCGTTGCCCCGGATTAGGTCGTACCCGAGAAATCCGATTGCACGTTACACGCGCGACGAAGCGACGCAAAGGTCGGTGGGAAAGGGTTCGCCGAGTGTCCGATAATCGGAGCGGTGCTTTAATTTCGTAATTGCGGCGGTCCGACTTTCTACGACGAGACACTGTAAGCCGGCCATCTCTCTTCGAAAAATTGAATTAATCTCTTAATTAAAACGATTCTCACGCGGCTCTTAATTAACGCTCGCCCCCGTTTTGCGAAGTACACGGCTCGGGACGATCCCGCGCGGGCGTAAAAGCGCCTGAGCGCGCATGGAAATCGGTTACGGTTCAACGACGGTTTCCGCGTCCGTCGCGTTCGATCGGTCGAAATCATTGGTTCTCGTCGGCGTACCAGCCCCCATCGTTTCTAGCCTCCGCGCTCCCCGCCCCGTCGCCACACCCCCCGCGCTCCGGTCTAACCAGCTATCCACCCCTCTATTCAAATATCACGGTGAAACCACAGCCCGGTATTCTTCAAAATGGGATTCATGCCGTCGCATAATAGGGGACAGAGATATCAATCCGATCGGTGAATATAATATAATATCCGATTACACGACCGGCAAGGGATCCGGCTCGCTTCCGTGTCGTGAACATTAAACGTCTCCCGGAGCGTTCCCCGCCTTGGCATCCGATGTATCTGCAGCGTGAT